AAGACTATGGTCCTGAACCTCCCAGGCCCAGCAGTTCACCCCCTTAAGGTGTCTGGTTATGGCTATGAAGTTTCATAACTTTATCCACTGTGTGCTCTACAATATTTATAGATATATTTGCAGCATGTGTATACACTGTTGTTGTTAAATGACATCAAGTCAGCTTCAACTCATCGGGACCAGGAACAGCTGGTGGGTTTGAACTGTGGACTTTATTGTGAGCAGTCCAGTTATTAAAACGTGTGTGTTCATCTTCTCTTATATTTGGACAGTGAATAAGGAAAACCATAGAAGAATTGATGCTTTTGAGTTATGGTGTTAGAGGAGAATATTGAAAGTGCCATAGGCTGCCAAAAGAACTAACAGATATCTGTTGGAAGAAGTGTAGGCAGAATTGCTCCTTGGAGACCAGGATGGCCAAACTTCATCTCTCATACTTTGGATCTATTGTCAGGAGGGACCAGTCGCTAGAGAAGGATATCATGTTTAGTAAGGTAGAGGGTCAGAAAAAAAGAAGAAGACCCCCAGTGAGATGGATTGGCAAAGTGGCAGCATCAGTGGGCTCAAGCATGGCAACAATAGTGAGGTTGGCCCAGGATCAGGCAGTTTTTCGTTCTGTTGTGCATAGGGTCGCTATGAGTCAGTACTGACTTGATGGCACCTAACAACAACTACAATATACATATACCCTTGGAAATCCTATACAAGGTTGCTATAGGTCAGAATTGATAGCACTTAACAACAACATTTATATATATCCTAGGTCAACCTTTACGTATTTGTGGATAAAGTATATTGTGCTGAAGCATCATTTCAACTCTTAAACACTGTTTTGAAGTATCATTTAGTTGTAAAAATATGTAGTACATCTCTCTCTCAGCCTCATTACATTTAATTTCTTCTTTGATTTTATCTAAGTTGATGAGGAATATAAACAATTTTCATAGCTCAAATAAGTATAGGGTCCACTTTTTTGTTGTTTTTGTTTTTTAAAGATAGGGAATAGAATCAAAGCTTAGAGAGTGGTCTAGTTAATGGCAAACTCAGAATTTTATATTTCACCCTAACGTATACAAACATACAGTTTTTAATTCAGGGGTTGCCATTTTATGGAGTTGCATAAGAGAGTTTAGAATTTGAAGTTATACTACTTGGATTTGAGTCCTGGTTCCTTTTAGACCTTTCAATCGAAGGAAAATTACTTTTATTTTCCTTTTTGATGCAGTGAAAAGGGAATACAAATTATGCTCATTTTACCTCCTTCACCAGGTTACTGGGGAGGACAGTATAAGAAAATGAATTAGGAGATGTTTCAAAGTTTAAGTCTCTGTACAGAGAATGGTAGTTATTCTTTCAGCAAATATGTCCTCATAAAATAATTTATAGAATATGATTGCTTTTATCTTACTGACACCACCTTCTTTCAGGAATTCCTCTGTAAGAGAAGGAAAATAGCATTACAACGTCATAATCCTTACAAAACTGTAGATTAGAAATTAATAACATTTTATAGATAAGGAAACAGTTCCCAAAACAGTAATTTATAAATTATTAATCTGTCCATTTGTCTGACTTCAGTGTTCTTGTTCTTTCTTTCATAACCTGATGACATTTTTTAATATGGGGTTTTAAAAAGTTTTTGGAAATTATTCATTATCTTTTAATTCTATTTTTTGATGAACTTTTGAAGCCTTTTTACATAATTCAGTTTATTAAAACGTGTGTGTTCATCATGCCTGTTTTTAAAACTTCTTGTTGCCATTTCAATTCTTCTTCTTTTGTTGTTATTGTTATTAGGTGCTGTCATTTCCAATATATAGTGACCATATACACAACAGAACAAAATACTCCCAGTCCTACGCCATCCTTACAATTGTTATGTTTGAGCCCATTGTTGCTTCTACTGTATCAGTCCGTCTCTTTGGGAGTCTTCGTCTTTTTTGCTGACCTTCATTTTAGCAAACATGGTGTCCTTCTTCAGGAATTAGCCCCTTCTGATAGCATTTCCAACGTGTGAGAGATGAAGTCTCACCATCCTAACTTCCAAGGAGCATTTTGGCTGTACTTCTGCTAAGACAGACTTTTTGTTCTTCTAGCAGTCCTTGATACTTTTAGTATTATTCTCCCAACACCACAATTCAAATACATTGATTTTCCTTATTCATTGAGGTCTAATTCATAATGAAGGCTGTGGTTTTTGATCTTCATAAGTAAGTATTTTAAGTTGTCTTCACTTTCAGCAAGCAAGATTATATCATCTGCGTATTGCAGGTTGTTAGTGAGTCTTCCTCCAATCTTGATGTCGCCTTCTTCTTCATATAATCTAGCTACTTGGTTTATTTGCACAACATACAAGTTGAATTAAGTATGGTGAAAGAGTACAACCTTGGTGCATACCTTTTCTGATTTTAAACTATTCAGTGTCCCTGTATTTTGTTTTAACAACTGCCTCTTGATCTTTGTTCAAGCTCCTCATGAGCACAACTGGAATACCCATTCTTCTCAGTGCTGCCCATAGCTTGTTGCGATCCACGTAATTGAAAGTTTTTTGTGTAGTCAGTGAAGCAGAGGTAAACATATTTTTGTTATTCTGCTTTCAGCCAAGATCCTTCTGACATCAGCAGTTATATCCCCTATTCCATGTCCAAATCTGAATCTGGTTTGAACCTCTGGCAGTTTCCTGTCGATGTAGTGCTGTAGCCATCTTTGAATTATCTCTAGGAAAAATTTACTTCCATATGATATTAATGATATTGTCTTATTTTTGCAAGCCAGATTTTTGCATTCCATTGGGTCACCTCTCCTTGAAATGGGCATGAATATGGATTGCTTCCAAACAGTTAGACTAGCTACTTTCCAAATTTCTTATCATAGAGGAATGAGTGCTCCAGTGAAGCATCAGTTTGCTAAAAGATTTCAGTTTTTACTCCAATTCCCAGAGCCTAATTCTTTGCCAATTCCTTCAGTACCATCAATTCTTGTCATATGCTAACTCTTGAAATGGTTGAACATCGACCCTTTCTTTTCGATACACAGTGAATGTACGTATTGTTTCATTCTTTTTTTTTTTATGCTTCCTGCACCATTCAGTATTTTGCCCGTAGAATCTTTCTGTATTTCAAGTCAAGGCTTGAATTTTTTCTTCAGTACTTTCAGTTTGAGAAATGCTGAGCATGTTCTTCCCTTTTGGTTTTTATAACTCAAGGTCTTTACACATTTTGTTATAATAACTTGACTTTGTCTATTGTAGCTGCCCTTTGAAATTTTCTTTTTAGCTCTTTGACTTCTTCATTGTTTCCATTTGTTTTAGCATCTATACACTGGAGAGAAAATTGCAGTGTGTATTCTGTCATCCATGTTTTGGTCTTCTTCTTTTCTGTCTTCTAATAACCTGTTGCTTTCTTCTTGTATGCTATTCTTAATGTCGTCTCACAACCCTTCTGGTCTTTTGTCATTACTGTCTTATGCATCAGATCTGTTATTGAGAAGATCTCTGAATTCAGGTGGGATATATTTAAGGTCATATTTTGGTTCTTGTGAACTTGTTTTCATTATTTTTGGCTTCAGCTTGAACTTGCATATGAGCACAACTTGATTTGATTTCTATGTATTTCATCTGATGAAGATGTATAGTCTCTTATGAAGTTTTAAAAAGATATTTGCAATGAATTAAGTTTTGCAAAATTATATCATGTGATCTTGATCACCAGCATTGTTTTTATCATGAAAGTCCTATTTTCCAACTACTGATCTTTTCTCTTTGTTGCTAACCTTTGAATTCCAATCACTAATAATTATCAGTGCATTTTGATTGCAAGTTTGATACATTTCAGACTGAAGAAGTTGGTAGAATTTCTCAGCTTCAGCATGACTGGTTTTCATGGTTGGTGCATACATTGGAGTAATAGTGGTATTGACTGGTCTTCGGTTTTGGTTCATGGTTATTATCCTATCACAGACAGCATTGTATATAAGGACAGATCTTGAGATATTCTTTTTGACGATGAATGTGATGCCATTTCACTTCAATTTGTCATTCTCAGCATAGTAAAGCATATGATAGTCAAATTAAAAATGACCAATTTCAGCTTACTAATGCCTAGGATATCAATCTTTTTGCATTCCACTTCATTCTTTGCAACTTTAAATTGTTCTAGAGTCATACTTTGTACATTCCACGTCTCTATTTTTAATGGATGTTTATGGCTATTTATCCTCATTTTGAGTTGTACCTTATCAGCATATAAAGATTCCCAAAACTTTACTTCATTCATAACATCATGGTTAACTCTACTTTGAGGAGGCAGCTTCCTATTTTGAGTGCCTTCCACCCTGAGGGGCTCATCTTCCAGTACTGTATCTGACAATATTCTGGTGCTATTCATGAGGTTTCAGTATTCAATATTCTGGTGCTACCGGACAGTGTTCCTCTGCTATTCATAAAGTTTTTAGTGTTTTGAAGCTAAACATTCAAAAGTAGTCTGCAGCTATTTTATCCTAGTCTGTCTTGGTCTGGAAGCAGAACTGAAACCTGTCTACCATGGGTGACTGTGATAAATACCTGCTGGTATTTAAAATACCAGTGGCATAGTTTTCAGCATCACAGAAGCACATAAGCCACCATAGGATGGCAAACTGATAGATGAGTCGTGGTCTTGCTCCTCTAGTGGGAATTTATTTCTTTAATTCATTTGACCAATTATGATTCATAGATACTGTGCTAAATCCTAACTGTTTTTGTTCTTTAAACAGAAGCAAATTTGTGCTTAAAATAGAATGTCGAATTTCTGTAATAGGGGGAACTACAAGATGCTTTGGCTTATCACAGAAGGCTGTTGAGGAATTACAATGTATATGCTTTAACATCCCCTTTACAGAATACAAATGGCCTCTTCCATTATGTCTTTTTAAATTTTTTAGTACCTGCAGATTTATACTGAGCCATTCATTCTGTGGTAAGTACTCAAATATGACTCTCATATGTGCACCTTGTTTTCTAGCTTGTCCAGATTATCATCAATACAACACATTTGGAGAAATCCTGTAAGTATTTGGAAGAATTTATTACCAATATCACTAATGTGCTTCCAGAGACAGTTCACACCACCAAGCTGTATGGGACCACAACTTTTAAGGTGAGAAGATACCATAGTACTGATTTTGGTATGCATAGGTTGGGGCATTTTACCCAACAGGGCTTTGTTTTCCCCAGAATGCATTAGTATAATCATAACATGATCTTGAGAATAATTGCTTGGGATTTTTGTACCCTCTTATATCTCCTTAGAAAAGTGAGTATCAGTGCATGTTTTCTGATATTTAAACTAAAAAGAAAAAATTGTAAACTGTATTCCCAGAAACATCCCTTATACTTTGTACATGGAAATGGCAATATCCTAAATTTGCCCTCAGTATAGTCATGAACTCTTAAAACTGGCCCTGATAATAGTGGCTATGGGCGACATCAATGTTTAGTAAAATTTTGTATTTAGCTGTCTCTTCCTTTCTGAGTCCAGTATTTTATTCTACTTTTTAGTGAAACAGTTTTGCCCCTTTCTGTTGTAGTTAACAGTTTTATGTTCATCTCGTAAGTCCCTATCAGTAGTTTTGATTGAGTGTAGGATCAAATGAGAAAGATTACAATATTGTAAAACAGAAGGAGGATTGAGGACACATGAGTGTCTGGAGACTAAATGCCTTCTTTTAGAATAGCCTTAAGAAATTCCTTTATATTGCCATGTGAACTTTAAATAACTATTAAGGGGGAAAAGTCACAAACAGATTCTGAAACACTGAAAGAGCAGATTCTAACAAAAAGTCTTCCTTGCATAGTTTGAATTTTTTATGTTGTTATTATTTTAGTTTTGAATATCCTGTATCTCACTTTTGAAATTCATAAGTTGATTTCAATTAGATATACACGTGGAATAATTAAGCTTGTCTTTGAGTATTGTTTACTTTTTCCTATCCTTTTGTTCATTTTCTTTTTTTTATTGGTCGCTTCACCTGGAAACTATTCTGAATGTATTCATTGCTTAGGTCAGCTATTAGTCTGTATTGCATATTCTTAATGTTACATGATTGTTTGTTTCTGATTACCTCCCAAAGTACTTACATCATATTATACTCATGTCATTACTTGAAGATGAGGCTTTCTGGTCCTCTAAAGATTTACAGCCTCAGATACCCTGTATAGGGTAGCTATGAGTCGGAACCGACTCCACGGCACATAACTACAACAACAACATACTAATATACTTTAGTGGGGGAAGGACTTATTGAATAATTAGGCACCAAACTCTATAAGAAAACACAGCTACAGATTTAAGAATTCAGAATGACTTTAGACAATTGAATATAATTTATAAGCACTTTTAAATACTTATATTATTGTGGAACATGGACAATGCTTTTATTTTTTTTTAAAAAAAGAGTTTCTGCTTTTGATTTACTGTGAAAGTCACAATGTTTCTAGGAAAGATGATGTTGGAGAGGCTGTAGTTTAGTGTTCAGAGAATTGGGAATCAGAAAGTTAGAACACAAGGTTCATTTAGAGTTTCTGTTGTATGGGAGATACATAAAGACTACTGCTTCTCTTCCCAAGGCAGGTCTCAGTTTTCTTATTTCAAGGTGTTTCCAAAGTACATGAACTCTTATGGTTAGAAGTCTTTCCAAAGGATGGCTTGTGTGTTATGTTGTTGCTCTAACAGTGAAAATGCTGAGGCAAAATTTAAGATGGACAGGAAGCCATAGGGTTGAACAGCCAATTAAATACTTAGTAAAGGAGAAGTTTTGGAGACCACTAAAGGTCATGTTGACAGTGCTTATTGGAAACACTGATTGCTTAAAGCACACTGAAAGTTTATTTTTACCTAGGCTGTTTCAGACTAGCTAACCCAGAACTCCGTATAAACATGGCAATTATAACAGCTACATGTTGTGTATTTTCCTAAGCTACTGTTTCCAGAAAACATTCCCCTGCAGATGGAAACCTTTATTCTGGAAAAGGGGCAAAAAGGATCAGAAGGACTTTAAGGTATTTTCTTGCAGAGAAATACCTTGTTGTATTGCTTAGAAATGTCCTGTTTCTGCCATATGTGACATAATCACACTGTCATGCTTAGCATTCCTTATACATAGAGTTTCCTTATTCTCTCACAAAAGAGAATGAAGGACTTTATCAATTTACTCCAACACAAACATGGCTTGAGTATTTACTGTGTGAGAGTCTGATAGGTTCTTGGGAAGGCAGAGAAAAATTACTTAGTCCCTGGACTTAGAGTTTATGCTCTATGGGGAACAGGTGTGGATTCTTCTATAAAGAACTGTGCGAAATGTACAACAGTCTACTAGTGCATTTCTTTCCTCTTTGATTCAACAAATTTTTGTGAAGCATCTACTATGTACTCATCAAGATTATAAAAGCAGTAAAATAGTTGCTGTTGACCCCATGTGCTTCAGAGTAGAACTGCACTCCATTGGGTTTTCAGTAAGTGCGTTATTTCAGTAAATGACTTTGTAAATGACTTTACAGAGCATATATTCATGCTAGTGAAACCATTGCTATGAGTCAGAATTGACTAGCTAGCAATGGCGTTTTTCATTTGTTTGCTTTTAGTGGTAAAAACTAGTAAGAAAAATAAACAATCCAGATGAAATGAGAAATGGAATCATTTAGATATCTGATGCATAAACATTCCAGTGACAGGCACCTTTACAGGAGTAGGTATTGGTATGTTCAAGGAATAGCAAGGACATTTATCTGACTAGGTGTTGACGTATCTGCTGGTGGTAGACATGCTATCATATGAAAAGTCAGAGTATTTCTACTTTTGTTGTTAGTTGTTATCAGGTGCTGTAGAGTCGGTTCTAACTCAAGCAACTGTATGCACAACAAAATAGAACACTGCCTGGTTCTTTGCCATCCTCACAATTGGTGTGTTTGAGCCCATTGCTGCTGCCACTGTTGGGGGTCTTCCTCTTTTTGCTGATCTTGCATGTTTCCAAGCATAATGACTTTCTCCAGGAATTGGTCCCACCTAATAATAACATGTCCAAAGTATGTTTGGATGAAGTTTCACAATTCTGTCTTCTAAGGAGCATTTTGACTGTATTTCTTCCGAACAAATGACTTTCTTCTTCTGGCAGTCCATTGTATTTTCAATATTCTTCTCCAACGCCCTAACTCAAATGCATTGATTCTTCTATGGT